AAAGTGACAATATTAAGTGACCGAAAGTCCTTAGTTTGACCCTGACCTATAGTACTGTATCACTAACATTGATGCTAGTTAAGCTAGTTTGATGACATGGGGGGAGGGGGTACAGGATTGAAGTAATGCTGTTATAAGAAAAAGATTGTGGAGAGATATTTTACTGAACTTGCAGGATCTTCTTCTTCTTCACTTCCTCTTTTCCGCTGTGGGTGTCGAGGGAGATATAAGGTTCTGTTTCTAGCTCTTCTGTCTGCCTCGACCATAGGCACATCGTACTGTTGTAGAGTTTCTCTGATGTTATCCTTCCATCTTGTTCTTGGTCTACCCCGTGCTCTACGTCCTTCTTCTCTTTCCATGTATGCTTTGTATGGTATGGTGTCACAAGACATTCTCTCTAAGTGGGCAAACCATTTCACGTGCTATCTTTGTATGTAATCCAGAATTAGTTCTGTGCTTACTTGTTCTCTTATGATCTCATTCCTGATCTTATCTCTTATGGTCACTCCTACAGCCCTTCTCAGACATCTCATTTCCGTGGTTACTAATTTTCTTTTATGGTATGTTGTGAGTGACCATGTCTGGCACTGGTAGCACAGAGTTGGAATAAATATGCTTTGAATAAGATGTCTCTTTGTGCTGATTGGGATTGTCTTATGCTGTAAGACGGGTGCTAGCTGTCCCAATAATTGGTTTGCTTTACTGCATCTAATGTCAATTTCTTTATCCAATTTCCCATCTTCGGTAAATGTAGTTCCCAGATATTTAAACTCAGATGCCTGTTTAATGTCATTGTATTCTATTGCTATGTTTAGATCTGTCTTCTTTTTTCCTATTGACATTTCTTCTGTCTTTTCAGTGTTGATTCTCATATTATTTGTTTTACATTCTTCATTCATGGATGTTAGATGTTGTTGCAATTTCATGGCTGTATCTGCTATCAAGGCCTGGTCATCTGCAAAGAGTAATTCGTTGATCTTACTAAGATCTTCATTCATGGGCTTGGCATTCTTGCATATACTGTCGATATAGGTGATAAACAGCAGTGGTGATAAGACACACCCCTGTCTTACTCCAGATGTCACTGTGAAAGGATGAGATGTTCCCTGATTTATTCTAACTACACTTCTACAATCAATACTTGCAGGATAAGTCACAGTAATACTGCATACAACAATGATTGTATTTTGATGCTTTCTTTTTTTTTTATCTTCATGATATTATAATGTATAGGGAAGCTATAGAGGACTTGCAACTTAAAATAAGTCTGCAATAGTCAAGACAAAATAAGAAGATAGAAGCAAGAACCAAAGTTCAGATACTTAAGGATTACAGATGTCAAGTTGTAAAATAAGACTATGGATAACACATAAGAATTATGTCATGTGAAATGTAGATGCAAAGGAAATAATGATGAGTTAGAAGTTCATCTTTCATGAACTGAAAGATTAATACTTGCAAACTGCTTATATATAATGACAATGAAAGTAAAAAGATAATTGTACAAGTATTGTAAAATTTTTCTTCGAGCCAACAACAAGTCTAGTTGGGAAGGTGGCGGATGTAGTGACAGAGCTAGTTACATGTGTCTATGCTTTACATGCAGCTTCTTTCAAAAAGCAGAATTGATCCTGTTTGTACCAAGCAAAATACTGTGTATACAACCAAAAGCCCGTTGAATGCAAAGTTTACAATCGACACTTGCTCATTCAATTTCCCCAGCCAGAAGTGATATTAAAAACAAATGGTTTTAATTTTGCAAGACATTTTTCAGACACCCAGGCAGACAACTGTTGTCAGACCATAAGATATGAAGTGAGCAAACGCACTGAGCAAATTAAATTGCAGATTGTTTCCAGCGGTGAAAATATCTCTCACAGCGTAATGACAAGATATTAAGCTAGCGAAATGGCCTAGAGTGCAATCAAGCAAATCCTTGAGACAACAGAGTTGATTAACTCTGCCACAGAAGAAGGCACCCCTACAGTGTTGAATTACAAATCCTGAATTACGAATCGACATCATAGCATTTGGGACACTCTCATAAGCACTCTGTCCCCATCTTTAGCAGCAAATGAAGAGTTCCTATTCTGATGGCACCAATAACTGTCTGATCATATATCAATGTCGCCTTTCCCCTGAGTGTTGAGCATCGGCCAGATCCCTTGATAACTTCTCGCAACAGCATTCTCAGACTGTAATGATCTATTTGCACTTTCGCATTGTTCACTTGCTCCCAGATGGCCCTCACAACATCTAGCTTGTCCTACATCAGTTCACCAACAAGTGGTGCAGAACCAGCCAGTCTATCTGCCTGTTCATATTCCAACACACCGGCATGACCTGGAGAAAATATCCAAAGGATGCTAACTATCAGGGCCTCTGAAGTGATGCTTGCCACTCTGCACGGAGCATACCTGTCGCCCCCTTTCTCAACATGCTCTGTGAGTCAGTTACAATCACTGATTCTCAAATCGCCGTCATGCAGCAGTGACTGCCTCCACCTCCATTCTCAAATTAGATGTTGTGATATCATATGCCAGGCTTTGTTGCACTGAGCGACGCCCATTCGCTTTTGCTATGAACCACCATGTACTTCGTTTGCCCCTCAACACAGAGCCATCTGTATAGATAATCACATCAGTTAGGTAGAAATTGTCATGAATCATTTGTTGAACTTCCGATTCTGCAGTTCCAGCTGGCCAGTCCCTGCACTCACTACCCAAAGTGATAAGAACCCTACACAACCCTTGCTAGGACCCACTCCTCACTTTACACAAATTTATCAAGCGTGCACACAAGTCAGATAGCAAAATATCCCATGCTCTGTTCCGCCCATTGAGATCCCCATAAATGGGAGGCCTATTACCCGAGACTTCCTCCATCCCTCTGAGCCAGTCCCAATGTTCCTTTGTGACAATAGATTCAACTGCAACATAAACATATTCTAAACTCCAGGTTGTTCCCCTGAATTTCAAGTGTACTATGATTCCACTGACCCAGGTCAAGAACCACGTGCTTCACCCTATTCTTTACCAGCAGACATTGCCCATGTCTTCCCTGTCTGGTAGGAGTTATATAACTAATGTATCTAGGACACTCATATCTATCTATGTTAAATTCCTGCAACATGAGGATATCAAAGTCATAAATCAATCTCTCCAGTACAGGTCCTCTCTGCTAGCCACTACGACAATTCCAGTAACCCACTCTAATATGTTTTGATCCCAGACGCTCCGTTTTTCGCCACTCTTCAGGCTCCAGCTCTCCTATGCCTTCTTCTCTCTCCATTTCCTCCTCATCTTCTCTTCTTCTCACTCTCTTCATTGAGTACTAGTACTGCCTGCCTGCTAGGGAAGAGGCAATGGATGTCCTGACGGAGTCCATACGCTTGGCACTGCCCCACTCATAACCAGACGCTCCACGTTCACGACCACAGTGTGACATGTTATTGTATTCTAAATTGTTGATTACAGAGACAATTAATTCAATTTATTCCCGAAGGTGAAGAAACCCATCATGTTTTGACAAACTCATATAAATTTGATTAAACTTGATTGTTAACTGATTTGTGATAAACACAGTAACCCCATGTCATAAATCAGTAGAAAATCAGGACAGTAAATGAATTAGCAAGATAACTGAAAACATATTTTCTCCAAGGACTTCTAAAGTTGCTAGCAATGGGGTAAATAGCAATGGAGAAACTATTTAACAGTAGACAACAAATGACAAGATACCAGTGGTAGAGTGATTTTGGACTCTGTACACGGCCAGTCATGGTTTGCTTCAACTGGCGATGACAAGACTAGGAAACAGATGTAATCCAAGTTAGTGAATGAAATATGGCATTACAGCAGCACAGAGGAAGACTGAAGGATCTACAGAAGAACAGAGAGCCAAACAAAATAACTGAACATCACTAACGCCATTATGACATGCATGAAGAGAGTTGTAGTAGGAAAGGAAATTGATGATTTTCACATATGTGAAATTCAGTATAGCAGAGAGACCTTATTTGATGCATTATATTATACATTATCGCTATAGGTGGTATACTGTGAGGTCAAGTCATCGCATAGAGAATCATAGAAATGAGGATGCCCCATTTATGCATTATTTTATTATGACTGTTGCTGCTGACGCTGTGATCTAAAGCAGAAGCACATGTAAGTTTTAACCAGTGTACTTGCCCGGCTCTCTAGCAGAATTGGCTAAACCGGATTTCGCGGAGACCAGGTGACGTACTCCTTGTGGTCCGGGTTCAATCCCGGGGGTAGGCAGGAAAGCCACATTTTCTCCCAGATTTACGGTATTTACAATGGAATCAAGGCCGAAAGGTTGCGATATCCATAATACCGAGCCTAAGGGTTAACAACTCATGGCTTCTGGATACTAAAACAAACAAACAAACAAACAACCAGTGTACTTTATATTTGTTTGATTGAATCATCAATAAACAAGAACAATTGTTTGATTGAATGATCAATAAACAAGAACAATTGTTTGATTGAATGATCAAAAAACAAGAACAATTGTTTGATTGAATGATAAAAAAACAAGAACAATTGTTTGATTGAATGATCAATAAACAAAAACAATTGCTTCAACGGCCTTATCATCAACCTCATGTTGATAAGGAGAGTTGGTACTAAACATACACAGTCATGAGAGAAGAAATAACCTTAAGGTACTCATGGCCGAGTGAGCGTAATGGATGGATATGTGATTGTTTAGGCAAATACTACCACACCTAATCTCAGTGCCACTAACCCACTTTGCTCCCCCAGACAGACTACTCTCAGTGCCACAAACCCACTTTGCTCCCCCAGACAGACTAATCTCAATGCCACTAGCTTTGACACTCTGCTCCTATAAACAAACAACTCTACATGGTCTAGGTGTTAGCCTGTACTACACATGTACAACAAACAGGCTCCAGCACTTTGGCAATTCACAATCCACATATTTGTCAGTGAGAACCAGACAACACGACTTACCAATGCTTCATTCTCTGTTCTCAACAAGGCAATACGGCGCTCCAGCCGCTGGACATGAGTGGTCAACTCTCCCAGCTTTTTTTGAAGAATCTTTTCTTTTTCTTTGTCCTCATTCTTTGTCTAGAAAATATGAATCAAATGCACAATGTAGCTCTTACAAATATAAAACCAGCAACAATTAGGTTTTTCCAACATCTAAAAGTGATTCAAGTCAAGACACTAGAAACAAACATGGATCCTGAATGTCAGACTGTCATCTCAGCATGTGATGTAACAGACAATGAACTATTCACAAGTACTCATCATTCAGTCAATGAAGTATTCACCACTCAGACAATGAACTACTCACCACTCAGACAAGGAACTACTCACCAATCAGACAAGGAACTACTCACCAATCAGACAAGGAACTACTCACCAATCAGACAAGGAACGAGTCACCAATCAGACAAGGAACTACTCACCACTCAGACAAGGAACTACTCACCACTCAGAAAAGGAACTACTTACCACTCAGACAAAGAACTACTCACCACTCAGACAATGAACTACTCACCACTCAGACAATGAACTACTCACCACTCGGACAATAAACTACTCACTACTCAAAAAATTACCTACTCACCACCCAGGCAATGAACTACTCACCACTCAGGCAATGAACTGCTCACCACTCAGACAATGAACCACTCACCACTCAGACAATGAACTACTCACCACTCGGACAATAAACTATTCACTACTCAAACAATGAACTACTCACCACTCAGACAATGAACTACTCACCACTCAGACAATGAACTACTCACCACTCAGACAATGAACTACTCACCACTCGGACAATAAACTATTCACTACTCAAACAATTACCTACTCACCACTCAGACAATGAACTACTCACTACTCGGACAATAAACTACTCACCACTCGGACAATAAACTACTCACCACTCGGACAATAAACTACTCACCACTCAGGCAATGAACTACTCACCACTCAGGCAATGAACTATTCACTACTCAAACAATTACCTACTCACCACTCAGGCAATGAAAAAAAAACAATGGCCTCACTAACCACCAGAAACTAAGAGCTAACATTAATGATTCACACATCATTACAAAGAGTCTTAAAGAGGTTAACATCCCACCAAACTAGCACATGTTCTCTGACATTTGCAAGAGAATAGTCAATCATGGACAAACAATGAGCACAAAAGGGTGGCTACCTGGTACATAGCTGCAGCAACTACACACCTAACTGTGCTGTACAGCTCACTTGTGTCAGCCTGACACCTGTTGCCTGCTACTAGCTACACATGGTAATAAGATTATAGCTGACACTATCATCCACTCCACTTATGACAGTGTTGTTCTGTATCAGCCAGTGTTGTTCTGTATCAGCCAGTGTTGTTCTGTATCAGCCAGTGTTGTTCTGTATCAGCCAGTGTTGTTCTGTATCAGCCAGTGTTGTTCTGTATCAGCCAGTGTTGTTCTGTATCAGCCAGTGTTGTTCTGTATCAGCCAGTGTTGTTCTGTGTCAGCCAGTGTTGTTCTGTATCAGCCAGTGTTGTTCTGTGTCAGCCAGTGTTGTTCTGTATTAGCCAGTGTTGTTCTACATACGCTAGTGTTTATATATATATGTATGTCACTAAATTTGCATTTCTGTTCTAAATATTTCAGTGTTATTTATTCTATGTATGATGTTGTTCTAAATATGTCAGTGTTGTTCTATGATGATGATGTTTTATGCATGCTGTTCTAAATATGCCAATGTTGTTTTATGTATGATGTTCTAAATATGCCAATGCTGTTTTATGTATGAAGGTCTAAATATGCCAATGTTGTTTTATGTATGAAGGTCTAAATATGCCAATGTTGTTTTATGTATGCTGTTCTAAATATGCCAATGTTGTTTTATGTATGAAGGTCTAAATATGCCAATGCTGTTTTATGTATGAAGGTCTAAATATGCCAATGTTGTTTTATGTATGAAGGTCTAAATATGCCAATGTTGTTTTATGTATGAAGGTCTAAATATGCCAATGTTGTTTTTATGTATGAAGGTCTAAATATGCCAATGTTGTTTTATGTATGAAGGTCTAAATATGCCAATGTTGTTTTATGTATGAAGGTCTAAATATGCCAATGTTGTTTTATGTATGAAGGTCTAAATATGCCAATGTTGTTTTATGTATGAAGGTCTAAATATGCCAATGTTGTTTTATGTATGAAGGTCTAAATATGCCAATGTTGTTTTATGTATGAAGGTCTAAATATGCCAATGTTGTTTTATGTATGAAGGTCTAAATATGCCAATGTTGTTTTATGTATGAAGGTCTAAATATGCCAATGTTGTTTTATGTATGAAGGTCTAAATATGCCAATGTTGTTTTATGTATGATGTTCTAAATATGCCAATGTCGTCGTAAATATGCCAGTACTGTTCCAAGTATGATGTTGTTCTAACTATGTCAGTGTTGTTCTAACTATGCCAGTGTTTTTCTAGATATACCAGTGTTGTTCTAACTATGCCAGTGTTGTTCTAACTATGCCAGTGTTTTTCTAGATATACCAGTGTTGTTCTAACTATGCCAGTGTTGTTCTAACTATGCCAGTGTTGTTCTAACTATGCCAGTGTTGTTCTTACTATGCCAGTGTTGTTCTTACTATGTCAGTGTTGTTCTAACTATGTCAGTGTTTTTCTTACTATGCCAGTGTTGTTCTAACTATGCCAGTGTTGTTCTAACTATGTCAGTGTTCTAACTATGTCAGTGTTGTTCTTACTATGCCAGTGTTGTTCTTACTATGCCAGTGTTGTTCTAGATATGCCAGTGTTGTTCTAACTATGCCAGTGTTGTTCTAGATATACCAGTGTTGTTCTAACTATGCCAGTGTTGTTCTAGATATACCAGTGTTGTTCTAACTATGCCAGTGTTGTTCTTACTATGCCAGTGTTGTTCTAACTATGTCAGTGTTGTTCTAACTATGTCAGTGTTGTTCTTACTATGCCAGTGTTGTTCTAACTATGCCAGTGTTGTTCTAGATATGCCAGTGTTGTTCTAACTATGTCAGTGTTGTTCTAACTATGCCAGTGTTGTTCTAACTATGCCAGTGTTGTTCTAGATATACCAGTGTTGTTCTAACTATGCCAGTGTTGTTCTAGATATACCAGTGTTGTTCTAACTATGCCAGTGTTGTTCTAAATATGCCAGTATTATTCCCAGTATAATGTTGTTTTAACTACGCCAGTGTTGTTCTAACTATGCCAGTGTTGTTCTAACTATGCCAGTGTTGTTCTAGATATACCAGTGTTGTTCTAACTATGCCAGTGTTGTTTTAACTATGCCAGTGTTGTTCTAGATATACCAGTGTTGTTCTAACTATGCCAGTGTTGTTCTAAATATGCCAGTATTATTCCCAGTATAATGTTGTTTTAACTACGCCAGTGTTGTTCTAACTATGTCAGTGTTGTTCTAACTATGCCAGTGTTGTTCTAACTATGTCAGTGTTGTTCTATGTCAGTGTTGTTCTAATTATGCCAGTTTTGTTCTAAATATGCCAGTATTGTTCTAAATATGCCAATGTTGTTCTAAATATGCTGGTAGTGTTATATCTAGGCCAGTGTTGTTCTAAATATGCAAGTATTGTTTCAAGTATGATGTTGTTCTAACTATGCCAGTGTTGTTCTAAATATGCCAGTATTGTTTCAAGTATGATGTTCTAACTATGCCAGTGTTGTTCTAAATATGCCAGTATTGTTCTAACTATGCCAGTGTTGTTCTAACTATGTCAGTGTTGTTCTAAATATGCCAGTATTGTTTCAAGTATGATGTTGTTGTAGCTATGCCAGTGTTGTTCTAACTATGTCAGTGTTGTTCTAACTATGTCAGTGTTGTTCTAACTATGCCAGTGTTGTTCTAAATATGCCAGTATTGTTTCAAGTATGATGTTGTTCTAACTACGACAGTGTTGTTCTAACTACGACAGTGTTGTTCTAACTACGCCAGTGTTGTTCTAACTACGCGAGTGTTGTTCTAACTATGCCAGTGTTGTTCTAACTATGCCAGTGTTGTTCTAACTATGTCAGTGTTGTTCTTACTATGCCAGTGTTGTTCTAACTATGTCAGTGTTGTTCTAACTATGCCAGTGTTTTTCTAGATATACCAGTGTTGTTCTAACTATGCCAGTGTTGTTCTAACTATGCCAGTGTTTTTCTAGATATACCAGTGTTGTTCTAACTATGCCAGTGTTGTTCTAACTATGCCAGTGTTGTTCTAACTATGCCAGTGTTGTTCTTACTATGCCAGTGTTGTTCTTACTATGTCAGTGTTGTTCTAACTATGTCAGTGTTGTTCTAACTATGTCAGTGTTGTTCTTACTATGCCAGTGTTGTTCTAACTATGTCAGTGTTGTTCTAACTATGTCAGTGTTGTTCTTACTATGTCAGTGTTGTTCTTACTATGCCAGTGTTGTTCTTACTATGCAAGTGTTGTTCTAGATATGCCAGTGTTGTTCTAACTATGCCAGTGTTGTTCTAGATATACCAGTGTTGTTCTAACTATGCCAGTGTTGTTCTAGATATACCAGTGTTGTTCTAACTATGCCAGTGTTGTTCTTACTATGCCAGTGTTGTTCTAACTATGTCAGTGTTGTTCTAACTATGTCAGTGTTGTTCTTACTATGCCAGTGTTGTTCTAACTATGCCAGTGTTGTTCTAGATATGCCAGTGTTGTTTTAACTATGTCAGTGTTGTTCTAACTATGCCAGTGTTGTTCTAACTATGCCAGTGTTGTTCTAGATATACCAGTGTTGTTCTAACTATGCCAGTGTTGTTCTAGATATACCAGTGTTGTTCTAACTATGCCAGTGTTGTTCTAAATATGCAAGTATTATTCCCAGTATAATGTTGTTTTAACTACGCCAGTGTTGTTCTAACTATGCCAGTGTTGTTCTAACTATGCCAGTGTTGTTCTAGATATACCAGTGTTGTTCTAACTATGCCAGTGTTGTTTTAACTATGCCAGTGTTGTTCTAGATATACCAGTGTTGTTCTAACTATGCCAGTGTTGTTCTAAATATGCCAGTATTATTCCCAGTATAATGTTGTTTTAACTACGC